ACCTGTGTCTCCCCGCGACACCCCAGGGTACAAGGGGGAGAAAAAAGTAAAGTAAAGTAAAGATAAATAAAGACTGAAAATAGGGGTTTACCACATACTTTTTAGACCCCTTGTTTCTTGACGTATCGTTTGTATCCAAGTTCTGGTACATTTCTTGTAACTAATCAATAGTAATCTGCTAGCATATCATCACGCTATTTGCCCTGATGTAGCTGTCCATGGGTACAATATTTTGGTGAAAACGTTCCCAATACCCATCAGTCACTGCGCCACATTTTTATAAGACCGTCCACATAGTTGCATGCAATCCGCTTGCTCTCTATTTAGAAGAAAATGGTCCAAAATCATTTTCATAATTTCTAAATGTATTGCATTCTCAGACGTTCATCAAGCAAATTTCATTGCTGGCACCTTGAACCCAAGAATTCAGCTCAGTCTGTCAGAAGGTCGTTCAGTCCATTTTACTTGACGATGTTCGTACTTGTTTCTTGCGCGAACGATCGACATCACTGCACAGGGGGCATCCCCATATGCGCTCGTCCCCCGAAGAAGCACATCTCGAAGTGTGTAGATGCTGACTGTTCCAAACAATGGTTGATTCCATAGATTTCTGCTCCTCCCACTAAGTCCTGATCTTCTGCAAGGCGCCCCATCCAATTCCAAGCTCACGAAGCCGCTCAAGATGATGGTATTCCGATTCTTTTTCTTCTTTTTCCCGTTTTTCAGGTTTTTTCAGGGAACAGCTTTTCTTCAGGTTTTGCTTCCCCAGCGAGCTCATCAGCCCGCTCATTGCCCTTGACTCCAGTATGGGCCAGGGTGAAGATCCAGGTGATCTTTTTCAGTGTCGTCTTCTTCAGGAGCTCTGTCCATTCAGCTCTGAGGTTTCCACTTTCAATCTTCCATAGAGTGCTCTGAGAGTCTGTTACAAAGATCACATGTGCTTGTCGAGTTGTTGTAGCCTATTTGAAAGCCTGGGTGATTGCCTCAATCTCCATTCTCATGCTAGATGTTGTCATAGCGTATGCTCTCTGCTGTTCCTGCACCAGTCTGCCTCTCACTCTTGCTGAGAAGCCCCATCCAGATTTCCCCCCTCATTTAACAGATCCATCCGTGTATACAACTACATCTCCATGCCTTGAGTTGACTTCAATCAGTCGTCCTATCTCAGCATCTGTCGCCCCCTGCGGCCCCTCTCTACATTCTCTTTTCAGCGTAATCCCTACCTTCTCAAAATCTGACTGCTATCTGTCTTTCATCTTTATCCATTCTTCAACCCGCTGTATATCTTCCAGTGGGCGGACTTCCTTGATGGTGTTTTCGGCCTCGGCCATCCAAGAATCTCCACGTTTTAGACGATTCCCTTTATTTCTCCAATGGCTTCGTGAAGTAGGTGTTGCTTATCAGCCGCCACCCTCATGTACGCCCTGACCTGAGCCACTTTGTGTCTGTTTTCCACTGACATGAGGCCCAATACATGCCTCATGCAGATAACTGTCGTATCTCTGGAGCAGCCTAGTATGATGTGCATGACCTCATTTTGAACACGATCCAACTTACTTGTCCAGTTGGGTCTTTGTCAAGGTCATAACTCCGAGCACATAATCGATTACTGCTAATACCAGCTGCTGATACATAAGAAGCAGTAGCGTTTGTTCCATTCCTGAAGCCGCCATGACCTTCACTGCATTCAAGCCCTTCTTTGCCCCCCCCCCCCTTACATGACTGTAATATTACTATGATGTATCAAATGTAGATCTAGAAATTAAACGTCTTTGGAATTGGAGGATTTGGTCAAATTGTGTCACAGTCGTAACTTAACTTTGGTCCCACCATGAAGAAGAGCCTCGCTGCCCTCAAATGTTTCAAACCCCACGAAATGGAGGTTTAGTTTTCGTACGAGTTTTAAGGCCCTTGCAACACAATTAGGCCATATAAGTGCCGAAGATTAGAGGTGTTACAAGAGAGTAACAGACACAAAAAGGAGGAGAGATAAGGTGCGACAGATGTTTGATAGGAAAGAAGGAGCAATCAACACCAGAGTATACGCCAGCCATAGGCTAAAATGGAGGTTTGACAAAACGTTTTGCAATGTGCACAGGGTATAACAGCTCATCGTTTGTCCAGGCATTTCAGATCGTTTGTATATCGTTTGTATCGTTTGTCCAGGCATTTCAGATCGTGTGTATCGTTTGCCCAGGCATTTCAGATCGTTTGTATATCGTTTGTATCGTTTGTCCAGGCATTTCAGATCGTGTGTATCGTTTGCCCAGGCATTTCAGATCGTTTGTATCCTTTGTATCATTTGTCCAGGCATTTCAGAGCGCGTGTGAGCTGTTGGAGGGACGAGCCACCTACAGTGAGCTGTGTATTCCCATGTGTGTGGTACCCGCTACTATTGCCAACAATGTACCGGGGTGTGACCTCAGTCTAGGAGCAGACACCGCTCTCAACCAGATATGTGAAGTATGTGTGTGTTTGCATGTGCGGGCGCGCACGCGTGTGTGTATGTGCGTGTGTGTATGTGTGTGTGTACTTGCGTGTACGTGTGTGTGTGTGTGTGTGTGTGTGTGTGTATGCATATAAAATTGTGGATGTGTGCGTGTATACATGTCTGTGTGTCTGTGTCTGTGTCTGTGGGTGCCTCAGTGTAAATGTGCTTGCCAGTGTGGCTGTGTATGTATTTGTGTTTCAGGCAGCTTCTCTTTGTTTTTCACCATCTCAAAAATTCTTTTTTTTTATGGCGTTAATATCTTTTTCTCCAAACCCATCATGTTAAAAAAACAAATCAATATGCAACATCTTGCCCTTTCTTATTTTTGTCCTAAAGCTTGAAGTGTCGGTAAAAACATTGCTATCACGGGTATGTCCTACGTGTTTCCTTTCTCTATTAAATATATGTCTGACAGTCTGTCTGCCTGTGTGTCTGTCTGCCTAGCTGGCTGCTATCTGCCCACCACTTACCTAGAGCCTAGAGTTAAGGCAGCGTTGTTAGGTAAATAGGTTTTCTGACTACTCTAATTTAGACTTACCCTAACTAGAAATAAGTACACTAAACGAAAGTATACGTAATCCTTTATAGGCCACTCGTCTGAACAATATAATGTATTAACTACAAACTTCCCCCCTACTCCCCCCCCCCCTAAAAACAACAAAAACGACAACAAACCAAACCTTCTAGGCATGTGATGATCTGAAGCACTCTGCCTTCAGCGTACAAAACTGCGTCTATGTGGTGGAGGTGGGCGGGGAGAAATGCGGTTACTTAGCAACGCTTGCCGGCATCACATCTGGAGCTGACGCGGCTTACATCAAAGAGGAGAAGTTCACGGTCAGAGACATTCAGGTAGGTTTGTGCTCCACTGGACCATGTGTGCAGGGTTTTGATCACTGCAGCTGTCAACGCTGTTGACTAAAAACATTATCTTTCCTCTGTGGCCAAAATTATTACGCTTTATGCCAGTGTTCTGTAAATTTTCAGTCCCATGTTGGATAAACTCCCGTTTCAGCGACTGCAATAGTGTTTTTAAAGCAATATACATCAACATGGGGATAATGGGCTAGTATGAGATAGCGTTAAGTTCGTTAAGCAATATACATCAACATGGGGATAATGGGCTAGTATGAGATAGCGTTAAGTTCGTTAAGCAATATACATCAAAATGGGGATAATGGGCTAGTATGAGATAGCGTTAAGTTCGTTAAGCAATATACATCAACATGGGGATAATGGGCTAGTATGAGATAGCGTTAAGTTCGTTAAGCAATATACATCAAAATGGGGATAATGGGCTAGTATGAGATAGCGTTAAGTTCGTTAAGCAATATACATCAAAATGGGGATAATGGCTAGTATAGATAGCGTAAGTTCGTAAAGCAAATCATCACATGGGGATAATGGGTTATTAGAGATAGCGTTAAGTTCGTTAAGCATATACATCAAAATGGGGATAATGGGCTAGTATGAGATAGCGTTAAGTTCGTTAAGCAATATACATCAAAATGGGGATAATGGGCTAGTATGAGATAGCGTTAAGTTCGTTAAGCAATATACATCAAAATGGGGATAATGGGCTAGTATGAGATAGCGTTAAGTTCGTTAAGCAATATACATCAAAATGGGGATAATGGGCTAGTATGAGATAGCGTTAAGTTCGTTAAGCAATATACATCAACATGGGGATAATGGGCTAGTATGAGATAGCGTTAAGTTCGTTAAGCAATATACATCAACATGGGGATAATGGGCTAGTATGAGATAGCGTTAAGTTCGTTAAGCAATATACATCAACATGGGGATAATGGGCTAGTATGAGATAGCGTTAAGTTCGTGAAGTTGGACGCTACAAGCATACACTCCGAAATAGTATGTACTTCCGCAACAGAGTTTTAACAAAAAGAAACACTCCAATAAATAAATAAATAAATAAATAAATAGATAAATAAATAAATAAAATAAACACTGAGCAGGATCGCACAGCTTGCGACTTGATCTAGGATAGACATCTGAATTCTTTCAACTCGAACGGTTTTTTTTTTATTATAAATTTTGTTTTCAAATTAATACAAATTCTATCTCTATTGAGCGATCCCTGCAGGATTATTTGAAATTCAATTTTGTACATTCAAACAATGATAGTAATACCAACAGGCGTTAGGCGTTCTTGAACGTGGGTTGTTTTGTAAATGTTTCAAGGCCTTTTCATTACAAAGTTCCATAATATGATTTTTTTGGGCCGTTTAGAATTACAAAAACGAGGATGTAACAAACAAAATGTTATATCAGCTCTATCAAAATCGTTAGATTGTTCGGAGTCGTTATCAGGATAACATTCAAAGAATTGCTTTCGAAAAAAACTTGACACGTTATGAAACTCGAAATCTTTACCTTCAAATTATTCCTAACTAGGTACTGAGCAAATTTAACTGTGTCATTCTAGGGTAGCGAGTTGTCTCGATCCTGTCGGAGATGGACGTTTCTTGCAGAGATACCGCCTCTAAACTAACATGACAATTTTGAAATGTGCGTGAAACTTGCTAGCTTACAACTTGTTTCTTACGACGGCACGAGTATTAAAATCCGATGGCACTGAATATTTACGCCCTCTTGAACACAACATTTATGCTTGTATTTATTATTTTTTTAGACAGGATTGGGGGCTCTCGTGGCCTAGATGTTAAGGTGTTGGCCTCTCATTCAAAGGTCCCGGGTTCGAATCCGGGTAGCGACCGAAACATTTTCTTCTCTAAAATTTTCTCCTTTCACCTCCTTTTCTGCTCTCTGGCAATGTTCTGTTGTCTGCTTTCATTTCCACTTTCTGCCCCCACCCCTTCACCCCGTCACCTCCTTTGACCATTCCTCTGGGCTCATGACTCTTTCTGCAGCCTTTCTACTGCTACTCCTTGGCTCCTCCTTACTGCTGTCTTTCTGCCACCCCCCTGATCTTCTGGTAGGAAAGATCTACACCTAG